CTATGTGGCAAGACAGTCATTATGAAATGACATTTCCATATGGTTGTGCCATCACACACTTGGTTTATTACATCTGATGCCATTTATCTTTGTTTTATTCATTTATACCATACTTTTCAAGAGCAAATCTTTCCAACCCATAAATAGGTATTTGTTTTAGCTTCTGGTACATTTTTTAAACTTTCCAGCTTCTTACAAAACAAATAATCCCTCTACCCTGAAGCAATGCCTAGTGGTAGCTTTGAGTCCAGCTGCAATCAGTAGTTTTGCTGAAGCTGGAGGGCACTGAATGTACTCCTTTACAGGCCTGACGTTTGCCCCATCAGCAAACCGATCACAATTATAAATTGTACGGAGGGAAAAAATTGCAAAACAAGACATTACACACTCTAGTGTCAGGCTTCGGAGAATTGGATCCCTCCCCTGGTGGCAGTAACTAAGCAGATCAAATGAAAGGAGTGTTCTTACTAGATAAGTTCTTTAATAATCACAACGAGAGACAAAGCAATGCACATCTCTCTCTAAAAAATGGTGTTGCTCCCATTAAAGGTTTACCCCCTCTGTCCCCATTAATATATGTCACTCCTACATCGGGTAATCTGAGCTTATTGCTGTTGCGTTTTCTGTTCTATAACTTTCCAAGCCCATCTAGTCTTGGGCGAGGGGGGGGGTCAGGAATGCTGTCCCAGGACACTGAATCTAACCAGCTGTATCTCTCTTGGCGCTTCCTCTTCTAGCTGTTGCTCACCCAGTATTTCCCAGTTTTCCCCCTCTGGGCTGTGCCCTTCTGCAAACCACTATTCTAAATCAATACTGTACTCCTGCCCTTGGGAAGGTTCAGAAAAGGGGGGTGGGGCTCCAAGCATTCCTCCTCAGCCCAGTCCCTGACATCTAGTAATGAAGCAGTAACATTGCCTTTTGAAATTGTTCAGCTTTGCAACTAATTTTTAGATTAACACTTGGCTCCTCGTCTTGAACTCTCCACAAAGATAAGATAAGAGGAGAATATTGGCCAGGTATTAACATACAATCCTATACCTGTCTACTCAGAGTAAATGCTACTAAATTAAGTGCAATCCTATACAGGTTCACTCAAAAGTACTGGTAATTGTGCATAGAACTGAAGCCCAAGGTTCAAAGCACTCTCAGCCAAAAGGTTTGTTCTGTTGCCTTGGGCAAACCATTACAGTATCTTTCAGGCATTGTGTTCTTGTTGTTTTTTAGTTGTTTAGTCATGTCTGACTCTTTGTGACCCCATGGACCAGAGCACACCAGGCACTCCAGTCTTCCACTTCCTCCCGCAGTTTGGTCAAACTCATGCTGGTAGCTTCGAGAGCACTGTCCAACCATCTCGTCCTCTGTCATCCCCTTCTCCTTGTGCCCTACATCTTTCCCAGCATCAGGGTCTTTCCCAGGGAGTCTTCTCTTCTCATGAGGTAACCAAAGTATTGGAGCCTCAGCTTCAGGATCTGTCCTTCCAGTGAGCACTCAGGGCTGATTTCCTTAAGAATGGAGAGGTTTGTTCTTCTTGCAGTCCATGGGACTCTCAAGAGTCTCCTCCAGCACCATAATTCAAAAGCATCAATTCTTCGGCGATCAGCCTTCTTTATGGTCCAGCTCTCACTTCCATACATCACTACTGGGAAAACCATAGTTTTAATTATATGGACCTTCGGCGGCATTCAGGCATTGTACTCATATGTCAAAACAACATGTAAGTATTGATGAGCATGCTAAGCTCTGCCTGCTGTTGTCATCAGCCTCCCTAAGTTGGAGGATGAACTTCCAAAGTGGAGAGGTTATGGTACTTGTGGAAGGTCCCCTCACAATTGGAACCCTCTGCAAATACCACAAGCTCATAGAGGTGTAGAATTGAAAGGGACCTTGAGGTTCATTTAGTCCATCCCTGTGCAACACAGGGATCTTTTGTCCAATGTGGGGTTGATTGCACAACCCTGAGATTAAGAGTCTCATGCTCTACTGACTGAGGAAATTCATCTTCCAGCTGACAGAGGACAACAGGAACGATGCTTGGCATACTTGGCCCCACTCTCCCAACTCACATGTTGCATTTACACGTGAGTAGAACGCCCAATGCAGTATTTATTTATTTCATTCCACCTTTTGTCCATAGACCTTCATAGTGGCTCATGACATAAGCTAAAATAATTCACACTGTATGCTCAGTAATAATTAAAAATGAACCTTTTTTTAAAAAAATCTCGTGAACCACTTTGAACTGCAGGTCTTTATTGATGATTTATTAATGAATCTGAATTTATGACAATAGCAATGCTTGCAATTGATACTGTTGCTTGATGTCTAGAAAAGCTCTATTTTTTCAGAAGTGAAAAAATTAGCAGTTTTATTGATGCTGAAATGCAACTAAAAATGCATGAATTGACTTGAAAGCCAAAAACAAAACCCCAAAAGATGCCCCTTCTTTAGGACAAAGTGTAAACCAACCTGCTGCCTCCCAGGTGTTGTTTAAATATAACTCCCAGCATCTCTGACCATTGGCCAAGTCGGCTGGTGCTGATGAGATTAGTAGCCCCAAACATATTGAGGTCTGGTGTAGACACACTTCTAATTCAATTTACTTGACTTTTTGTTACAAAAAACAAAGCAATCGTTCTTCAATCTGGAGAGAGGGGGTTGTTTAGCCTTGCTTAGACTCTTGTCTCTCCAGAAAGCCCTGCAAGCCGTCTTCTACCCAGGGTGAATATCACATCAGCATTTCTTGATGCACATCTCCAGACAGAATTTAGTAATAAAATGAGCAATGAGACTCCTGTAGCTGAGAAAGGGAAGACAACATCTGTCTTTCGAGCACATTCTTGTTGCACCAGAATTCTCTCAAGCAAATAACAGGTGAAGCTTCAGTGACTCAGAACCTCCTTTGAAAACTAGTGCTGGAGTGGGGGAAAAATCACTTTCTTTTTTGCAGCTGAGTTGGAATCTGCCTTGACAAAAATGCCAGCACCCACCCAGCACTCGTGGGAAAATGTGGCATGATCTCTTAGTGTAATCAAATGAAACTTTAACACACGGCATGATAAAAGTCTGTAATTTTATCAAGACAAGTTAGTTGCTGATTACTGTTGTAACAATTGTTTTCTCAAAATTTATCTTCTGTACCATCAAAATAAATAAAAACAGTTTTTTTAAAAAGAAAAGCCTATTTTTTCTTTCTCATACAATGCTATTTCAAAAACTTTGATGGTAGTGGCAGTCTGGGGACATTTTGCTTTCCTCCTAGTTGTTCTTTGCAGTAGGGGGATGGTGGGAGCATCCAACTTGAATAAATAAGGGTCAAACTGGAGCTGACACTATGCGGTTAGCAATGGCAGAAATAGCTTTTGAAAAGTAAATTGGAGTGGTGGCGGGCACTACCTTGGCATGGGTGGTGCCTCAATCTTTTGCCCCCTCCCTTGTGGTCCCGATGGCATCCCGATCCAAGCTTGGCCTTGAGAAGGCTTGCTACAAAAGACTACAGTCTTTTGGAGAGCCAGTGTGGTATAGTGGTTAAGAGCGGTGGATTCGTAATCTGGTGAACCGGGTTCGCTTCCCCGCTCCTCCATGCAGCTGCTGGGTGACCTTGGGCCAGTCACACTTCTTTGAAGTCTCTCAGCCTCACTCACCTCACAAAGTGTTTGTTGTGGGGGAGGAAGGGAAAGGAGATTGTTAGCCGCTTTGAGACTCCTTAGGGTAGTGATAAAGCGGGATATCAAATCCAAACTCTTCTTCTTCAGTTGCAAGTAGATATATGTAGATATAGATATATGTAGAAGAGGAGCAACCACCCATAGTTTGTCCATATCTGTATGATTGTAAACGAGGGAATACATGACCTAAAATCTGCTCTCGCTGGAGCTGGAGGAGCTTATCTCCAGTGGTGTCACTGGTATCCTTCCCTCCTGATAAAAATAGCAAGTGGGGTGGGGAATTTTCATTGACTATGGCAGGGGGAAAGGGGTTAAACTTACCCTCCCCCACCCCTGTGTCCCCAGTGCTGACTGAGCTGCTCTTTACATTCTTTAAAAATGTACACATTCACCACATCAAACATCTAGCCAGGCCTTAATTTAATATCACTCAATTCATTCGAGGGTGTTTTTTTAGTGCAGGAGTGGGAAACTCATATTGGCCCCAGGGCCACATTCCCACATGAGCAAACTTTCAGGGGCTATATGCTAAGGATAAGTGGCAAAAGTGAGCGGACCTCTCCGTCTAAGCTGGGAAGATGCACCGTCATAGTTAAGCACTTAAGGGAGGAGTTGAGCAGAACCTGCGATGGGTGTGGCTTGGGAAAATTTCATGGCCTAAGGAGAGCCTCAAAGGTCAGAGAGACCCAGAGACTCCTCTCCCTGCTTTTAGTGCAAATATGGTAAGCTTAGGTTTTTGCAATTTGAGGACATCCACCTCCCATACAGGGATGCGGGTGGCGCTGTGGTCTAAACCACAGAGCCTAGGGCTTGCCGATCAGAAGGTCGGTGGTTCGAATCACTGCAACGGGGTGAGCTCCCGTTGCTCGGTCCCTTCTCCTGCCAACCTAGCAGTTCAAAAGCACGTGAAAGTGTAAGTAGATAAATAGGTACCACTCCAGCGGGAAGGTAAATGCATTTCTGTGCACTGCTCTGGTTTGCTAGAAGCGGCTTAGTCATGACCCAGATGACCCAGAAGCTGTCTGCGGACAAATGTCGGCTCCCTTGGGCAGTAAAGCGAGATGAGCGCCGCAACTCCAGAGTCGTCCGTGACTGGACTTAATGGTCAGGGGTCCCTTTACCTTACCTCCCATACATAGTAGTAAATCTGGTTTTTTTACATTCAACAGGGTGCTGCAGCCAATCACAGCTACCTGAGCTACCAGCATACCTGTATAGCACATATTTGGCATATCCACACAATGTTACACCTAACATGTAATTAAAAACAAATATATTTCTGGGATGTACTCTTAAAAACGGTCAATATTTTATTTGCCTTCTTTCTCTGAACAGTGCCAGTGCCAGAGGTTCAAAGATGTTGGAGTAGGTTCCTTATGTTTCAGCCAGACCAGAAGGGGAACGTGCCTCGAATGCGCCTCCTGCAAACCAACAGTCCTTTTGGCCAGAAGGTACAACCAGCAGCCGCTGGGTGAACTTTTCTGCTCTTTCTCTTAGATAAGGCCTGCCCAGCAATAAGCAAGGGGAGAAAGAAAAGTCGTCCAGACAATCATTAGGAATCTCACACACTTGATAGAGATGTCACTGCAAAAGAGGTGCCCAGAAAACTTACGTCACAGCTATACATGCATCCTTTCAGAACAACATTGGCTTCAGTTGGCTGCTCAGGTTTTTGGCTCCAGGCTTAACTGAGTAGCAACTGCAAATCTTTTTTTCTTGCATTCATTTTTCACTTGTGGGTGTCTCTCTTCTAGAATGCTCTCCCAGGGGAGACATGCTTGGCAGCCTCCACGCCCTTTCAGTACCAGGCAAAAACCATCTTATTTTCCCTAGCATTTCCCTTGCGTGGTGAGTTCCCACCTCCCCCCATCAGAAATATATCACACAACACAGTATTTTAGGTTAATGGGCAAAAATAGGCCACAACTTTATTGATTACAGGTAATGAGTGGTATTGGCTTAGGCATTGGTCCTATTGTCTAACCGGCTTCAGCCTGATTGCTTGAAGACCGGGAAGGGTTAACCACCAGTAGGGGGAGTCCTGCGATGCACATCAACTAGGATTTCCCCCGGGGTCACCGCTCGGGGGCGTGCCTTGGGCCCTCACCTCCATAGGCTTCGGACAGGGCCACGCCTCCCAGAATCCTTTACTGGACTACCCTTCGAACTGGAGGAGGTGATATCGCTTCCTCCCCCCTCTTATCTACATAACAATACCCCTACCAATGCCTAGAAGTGGCTTTGTAATGATTTGTTCAACTGATGGTAGGTTATTGTTTTTATCCTACTGTTTCACTTGTTGTTGTTGTTGTTGTGCATTGATTTGCCTTGAATGGTTTATATATATGTTTATTATTTTGTCAGCCTTCCTGGGAAAGTTTTGTATTTAAGGGCGGGTGGCGCTGTGGGTAAAAGCCTCAGCGCCTAGGGCTTGCCGATCGAAAGGTCGGCGGTTCGAATCCCCGCGGCGGGGTGCGCTCCCGTTGCTCGGTCCCAGCGCCTGCCAACCTAGCAGTTCGAAAGCACCCCCGGGTGCAAGTAGATAAATAGGGACCGCTTACTAGCAGGAAGGTAAACGGCGTTCCGTGTGCTGCGCTGGCTCGCCAGATGCAGCTTGTCACACTGGCCACGTGACCCGGAAGTGTCTCCGGACAGCGCTGGCCCCCGGCCTCTTGAGTGAGATGGGCGCACAACCCTAGAGTCTGTCAAGACTGGCCCGTACGGGCAGGGGTACCTTTACCTTTATAATGGTAGAAAATGAAATGGAAAAGCTGTTTTTAATAAAGGGGGGTGGAAGAAGAAAACATTGGGTGACATTCAGTTAAGTTTTACTCAGAGTAGACTTATTGAAATGAATGGATCTAACTTAGTATTTTGCTTGATTATAGTACTGTATTATTATTATCTTGGAATGGCAATGCGAAGGGATCAAAATGTAAGCTAAGAGTTCATTTCTTCTTAGAGTGTTAAAGCCGCTAGTTGGTGCAATTGCAAGAGTCACTCATGGTGGTTGAGCTAATTGACAGCTAATTAAGAGCTCCTGGGGGGGAGCCAAAGAAGTTTCCTTCAGCCTGAGTTTCTTGAGTATAAAAGAATGTCCAGTATGTTCTAGTTGCAGTAATACATTCATTTATTTTTAGCAGAGCAGAGCAGATTAGGCTTCTGTCTGACTGCTAACCAGACGACTCTGTACGTTCTTATTTATAGCAATCTTACAGCTAGAGTTTTGTTCAGCCTACCCGCTTATAAAGTTTGCCAACTTCTTCACTTTCTGCATTTAGCCTATTTTATCCAAGCCACTTCTACGAACAATTACCCCTAGTGGTTCACAGTTTTACCTGGTCTTTTGTACTCGGATACTGCCCTTCCTTCCTTGGAAAGTTCTAGCAGAAATAGCCATTAGGTAAGGGTTATAGCTCAGTGGCGCAGTAGGTCCCTGGTTACATCTGAGCATTTTCCTGGGAACCCTGGAGATCTGCTGAGCTAGATGAGCCATGTCTCATTCTGTACAAGGCAAGCTTCCCATCTGTAAAATGTTGCAGTCTATGTTTTCCTGCCTCTGGCACCATCAGCACTGGCTTCAGCAGATACTGAAGCAAAGCCAGGACATGGACATTGTAATGATGTTAGAAGAATGAATATGCTCAACTAAACAGTTAGTGGGGTTGGGGAGCTCATCATGGGTTTGTTTTTGTTTTTTTGCCCCCCTGCTCTTTGCAACTTTTGCTCTCCGAGCAACCTATGTGGGGCTCCCAGTGGTCTCCTATCCAGGCACTGATTAGGTCCACAGCTGCTCAGCTTCAATGACGCCACAGCCCTGCAACATGCTTTACAATGTTCTCTGACCATTCACTCAGCTCCCATAAAGTTCTATTGGCTGCAGAGAAGCTGCAGTCTAAAAAAAAACAAGCTAGTTTAAAGCAGTGTGTTTTAAACCCAAGGGGCATCACCATGCTGGCTTCGCTCCCCAGTAGACAATAGCCTTAAGAAAGAAGAGGCACTGGGTCATTTTAGCCAGGACAGCGAACATAATTTTATTAAGAGAGTTAAAAACCAAGCATGAATGTTTGTAGCCAGATGAAATAATAATCAGAGGCAGCAATTGCCAGTTGACCTACTCTGGATAGTTCCACTGCTATTAATAATTGACTATAGATAATAAAATCTCTCCCCTTATTAAAATGAGACAACTGCAGAATAGCCTGTTATTGCGTAACGTCTTAATTGTACTTAAGACATGAGAGCCTCAAAGGGAACATCATTTTATCAGCATCCCTTTAAAATATCTGGACTGGAATATTATGACACATACACACAAAATAATCTTTGTCCATTGTTAAAGGACTAGGAACTGCTTTTGAAAGCTGACTTAGCTGATCCATTGCAAATGTGTTGTCTGATTATAAAAGCACATATTTAAATTACAATTCTTTTAGAAACAGGCCAACAATTTTACCTTAACATCAGTGATTTGTTTGTAGAATCTACTGGTTTACCAGAGGTTTCCACCCAAGGTGAGCACTATAAGAAATATTTTTATTTGTTTGTTAAATTTGCTTTTAAAAAATAAAGAAGGAAAAAGGAAAAGGAAAAATGACAACAAAAAACTTCAGCTCACATGAAATAACCACCAGCACATCCATCTTAAATTAAAACATATAAATTTATATAATCCATCCAGATGTGCGAAGAGTAAGGGCAGTGAGGTCCTCAGACCATTATGTAATAGACAGTGGCTGTTTATCTTTATTAGCTCTTAGTATAAGTCTGGATCACAAACATTTTAAAATAATAAATAAATCTGATGTGAACTTTAAAGTGTGGAGCAGAGCCTCATAACCATGAGAAGGTCTTGACTCATCTCATTTTCATTTTTGGATGCGACCAGATAAATGGGGCAATTATCTTGAATATTTCAAGGTGGATGCAGTTCACTTACTAGTTGTAAGTGAGGCAGGAGTTGCTGAAGGAACAAGAAAATGTGGCATCATAATGTGGGGGTCTCTAGCTCATGCACAGTAAGGCAAGAGTATGCGATTTAGGATCCAAGCAAACTGAAGAGCATTCCCCATTGCCATAGCTGCTGTTCCTTCTGTTCCCCACCCACTTCCATAAGTTGACATGGTGGGCATCTGTGTCTCCTCAGGGGGAAAGATTTGACAGTTGCACATGCATAACCTACAGCAGCGATGTTCAACCAGTCAATGTTGTTTGTTGGTGTTTTGCGAATGAGGTGAGCTGTGTATGTTATTCCCCCTTAAAAATATATTGTCCTCCCGAAAAAAGGTCAACAACTCTGTTCTCCCCCCAGAAAAGCTTAAGAACTCTTATTTTCCCAAAAAGTTTAATAACTCTTCTCTCCCCAAGAAAAGCTCAACAACTCTGGTCAATTCTCAATGACAATAGGTAGATCACACTGCCAGTTTTTTTTTATACTGGGAGTAGATCACATTCTCTTGGGAGCTGGACGGGTCTGACCTACAGGATTTATCTTGGGAGGAGAGGGGCATTAATGAACTAGATAGTTACCAGTCAAATGGAATGAACAATTTTAAGGAGGTATCCAGTGTAAGAACTCGGCTCATAAATCAAAATTAATATGCATAGATTTTGAAAACATACAGCGAAAAAGATAAACCTAGACAAGATGCGACATGCCTGCCACTTGCTTGCAGATTATAGTGTCTCCTAATGGGAAATATTTCTCATTAGTGCAGATTCATTTACTGTAGATATATTTCAGTGGAAAGAAGGCACAAATTGCAAAACACCATTTTCTTGTCGAGGTACATTTTTTTTACCATTGTTAAACAGAATGCTTTGCCTATGGAACATTTACTCTTCACTGCTTTGCAGCTAATAAGGAAACGAGCTTGATATTCATGACAATAAATTGAAATCCTTATTCCCCTAGTGTGTCTTTAATAGTGTTTTGGAAACCTATCTGGTTTTTAATTAGAGTCTGAGGAATTTATAATTGCTTTGCTGTCTGTGAAGCCAAGAAGTTGTTTCTTTCTAGAGATACAGAAAAGCTCCAGAGCCAATCAGCCTACAGATCCACCCTGCAACTGAAAACAAAGATATCGAAAATAACATAGTTGAACTTTTCCACAGGTTCATAATTCCATAAACCTGCCGCAAATCAAGGTCATGCAGAAGAGCAACAGCGTTTCAAAGCTGTTGGATCAATTGTATATTTATAAGATGTTCCAGCCTCAAGGGGTTTCAACAGGATTCCGTCTGCTGTGAAAGAACAAAGTCCAAAAATCGGTACACAGAGAGTTTGTTTACTAGGGAAAGGACCATTCTTATTTCTGCCATGCAGAAATTGTGAATTTCACTTTGCGATAGTGAACAGTTGCTTGGATTGCAACGGAGAATAAGCCAAGCCACACATGAACTACAAGGACATGAGGCGAGACTTACCTCTTTACCTCCTTCAAATAGTATT